CCTGGCCAACATAGTGAAACCCGTCTCTACTAAAAATATAAAAATTCGCCGGTCACGGTGGTGCACACCTGTAGTTCCAGCTACTCGGGAGGCTGAGGCAGGAGAATCACTCGAACCCGGGAGTTGGAGGTTGTGGTGAACCGAGATTGCGCCACTGAACTCCAGCCTGAGCAACAGAGTGTGACTCCGTCTCAAAAAGTAAAGAAAACCCTCAGGAGACAATAACAAGTGAAAAATTGTAAGTACAAAAAATCAGTATACAAACCTGTGCACAAATATGTCCCAACTTTTAAGGTATATCCATATAATAAACACTGAGAAAAATACATGGAAATTTAACAATTATTGATTCTGAGTAACTGTATCCTATTGTGTGTTTTCTGTATTTTCTATAATGAGCATTATTACTTCTGTAATCAGAAAATTTTAATATAAAAAAGGAATAGAACTATAGTCATATCTCGCTTTTCAGAATTCAACTGAGCCGTAGCCTCAGCTATCTGGAAGACAATCCAGTTTCAAAAACTAAGCAAAAAGATTCTGAGCGGCCAAAATACATCTTACAAATCCCACATTTAAAGGTGTGGGTACTTTGTTCATCAAGAAAGCTCTTTGTAACTTCTTTTACATATATCTCAATTCCAACTAACGTGGTTATCTAATGTTCCAGAAGCACTGGGAATGTAGACATACAGACAGGGGTGCAAAGTGATAGGCCTTGGCCTAACAGCAGGAAAAAAATAATGAAAAAAAATATATAAAGCAGACTCAGACACCTACAAAGCAGTTCAGGGGCAACTATGGCCAAACATCCTAAACAATACATTTCCATAAAGTATGATAATAGATATTCACTATAACAACTTTGAGTTAAAGAGTGCTCTAAAGAGGTTCATTTGAAGATAGCCGTAGACTGGTTGGCTAAAGAAGAAAAGTTCCTAATGCATTTGAGGAAAAACTTCATCACAAATGTTTATAATAAAAAGGTAAGAGTGCTTAAAGAGAATCTCCTCAGCTATCCAGAGCAACTCATTTCTGCGAGTTCCCCATAGTTGGAATTTTACTATACTGAAACAGATTTTATGGTTGGCTGCATTGACCAATACAGGTCTGGAGAACAATCTGGAAGGAAATGATTAATGACTGCTTCTTTACAAGGAAGTTTAAAAATAAATAACTATAGGCGTATCAGAATCAACATTAACGCAGCAATTGCTACTACATGCAGCCAGGTTGTTGATGTTATTTTGGCTTAAATTCACATTCTGGGCAGGATTTAGTGCCATATAGGCAGTTGGGACCTATCAGCTACCAGGGTAATATCAGTAGCCCCCATTCCATCACACAGGACAAACTACAAACCAAAGAAATGTCTATTCCATCTCCTTCATACTCATCTCTTTTGCTTCTGACTTCAAAAGCGGGGCTAGAAAGACCAGGAAGGAGAGACTGATTATGTTTATATCTGTGGAGCAAAGATTATGCAAACTGCCAGCACTTCATTGTTTTTGTTTTCAGCGTGGTTATCACAAAACAAAAACAAAAAGATAACTTCTACATCTGAAGCTCTATTATTTGAAAACAGACCTGAATATTTCCTCCTCTTTCAATAAAGCAGAAAGCACCCTTCATTTTACTTATCTATGAAGTACTTATTTGTTGATAGGGTACTAGTTACTATTTCTATATGAGAGCCTGACAGAGTCTATCTAAAGAAGCTATTTCCTGAGTTACTCTAGAAGCCTCACACTGTTTTGATATTTGCCAAAAATCCAAGATAACATTTTTTGTTTTTAATTTCTCCACCTTCCATACCCCTCAGAGCTAAAAAGAGAAAAACATGACCATAAGCATAGTTAATGGTCCGTTAGCACTTTGACCTCTCTGAGTTTCTATTTGTCTTTTGTTCCTTTTTCTTTTAAATATCCTTACTACTTATTTTTTCCTATTTACAAAAGTAATACACGGTCATTGTCACAATTCAAACAACCCAAAGATGTATGAAATAAAAATTAATAACCTCCCCTTGTCCAAACTCTCACTCTTCTCCCAAGGAAGCCAATGTTACCAGTCTGGTATATATTCTTTTTTCACTTCTTCCTAGGCTTACACAAACATTTATAGCATTTGTGGCTTTTCTGGTTTTGTCTTTCGGTTTTCAAGCAAAAATGGGATATTACATGTACTATCATGCATTTTGCCTTCTAGTCTTAAAAATATGCCATGGACACTTTCCAAGCCTATATACAGATCCACAGAATACCTTTTTAGGAGTTGTGATGTATTCCATAAGACAAATGTCCCATAATTCATTCAACTATCATCCTGAGTCTCCCAACTAATTAACATTTAGGATAGATTTAGGATAGATCTTCATGCATATACTACTACATGTCCTTTAACTTCAGTCACAGATTTTTAGAAGTGAGGTTTCTAGGTCAAATGAAACATTTCCAAATGTTTCAAATTTTATATTTAAACAAAATTAATTTTAGGCCTTGAGAATTTCTGTTCTCTTCTTCATTATGTAAAATTTTGTTATCAACCATTCACAATGCTTTACATATTTTATTCTTAAAAGCACACACATTATGTCAAAAAATGCCCCTCTGTCATTTATGCTTGTGTAGTTATAAACAAATAAATGCTTAAGTTATAGCTGTGATGTCCAGTGTTAAATCACTGTGCCAATGCTTATGCCTTGGTTTATGAAAGTAGTAATTCATTATGGAAATTCCACCCCCACAGCCATGTGGCAGCACTAGAGTTGCAGCCCTCACATCCTGTGTTTCCCTCCCACAGAGTGACTATATAGAGATCAGGACCTCCATTTTTTCTAATTGTCAACAGTTACCCTTAAAAAGTGTGTGGTGGGGGAGACAAATAGCAACAAACAACAAATTGATGGCCATTGTGGGCTTCTAATATCGACAGATTATTTGTAACACAATGAATAATGCTCCCGGTCTACACCAGGGACTATGTTCCATAAGAAATAAAACTTGTAACCAATATGTTGCTATTATTATTACAGGAACCTTTCAAAAACATATTCTTCAAACATTTTTCATTAGAATCACTGGATGAATCACACTACATTTTTTTCTCTACTTCAGTTCAAGTTCTAATTGCAAACTAAAAAAAAAAAAAAGCCTTAAAGAAATACATTAACCAACGAAGCTCCTTATAATTTGGTTTCAGACTCCTCCATATATTTTAAAGACCTGAGCACCAACAGAGATTGTTAAGACACAGCAAGCTTGATACAGAAGTATGTGACATGCAATTAATCTCCATTCATACCCTGCTCTACTTGTCAGCAAACAAAGGTTCTGCTTTAGAAGGAGATCTGAAGACTTCAATTAAAAACAGTCAGCTAACAAGAAAATAATCTAAGCTAAAGGAAGGTGGCAGGTGCAGAAATGAGTTGTTTACCAAAGTGTCAGTTTTGAACAATAAAGAACTGCACATCAAAAATGCTGAAGGAATGGATTTCATTGCAAGCCTCTGAAAATAAAAAGGAATTTTCTACCAAGGCTAGACACAAAACTGAAGTATAGTTTAACAAGCTTATAAAATAGGTTTCCTCTCATCAAATGACAGATACCAATAAAAAGAACCACTTTATATCTTTCAATGCAAGGGCAGAGTTAAACTTTTCGCCACAGTTCTTTCTCTCCTAGAAACCAAAGACAATTACAGCCTTCCTTCACAAGCCTAATATTAAACCAACAACAGAGGGAAAGGCTGGATTGCTTCTTCTTAGACACTTAGATAATGCTCCTTTACCCTGCAAATAGTTTTCCACCCCCAAAATTTAGATTTATTCTGATCATAAGTAAAATGGATTTTGGAAACCTCACCTCAAAAGAAATATCTAGTTGACAGCTTTTACATAGAAGCAATCCAGAATGGAAACAGTGCTACCAACAGAGACCAAAAGGACTTGCCAAATATTTGATTAGGAGGCATTTATACCGAGATAACAAGGTAATGGAGATATAAAACCAATTAAATTGAGAGAAACTGAAAAAAAAAAATACTGCTTGCCAAAAGTGTGACCTGCCCAAAGCAGGCCATCTGTTAAATATGTGTCAAATACGTCAACTTAGATGCCAAAAGGCTTAATTCTGAATAGTTTTCTCCTGGAACCCTTATGCAACTGCAGATTCCAGGCCTCTGTCCTCTCTGGAAGGTTAGTTACAGGAAAGCAAGTAAAAGTGACTTTCACCATGAAACCCAGCAGATGAAACTGCCCTTTAGCAACGTCTCTGAGACATCTCTCTGGAGTGTCGGCAGTGTGTGCTGAGTGTTGATGGGGATGGCCGGAACTCTTTAAACCATCGCTTAGACACTGTAGTCGGAAGGTGAACACACCACAATGGGGGCACTTCTAGAAAAGGAGGAAATCCCATACTGAGAATGAGCCTGCCTTGGGGTGGGTGAGACCCCCTAGACGTCCGCAGGGTGATAAAGGGAGGGCTGGGGTTTTCGCACTGACAAAAACTCACGTCAACCACCTGGCCTTGGCCCATGGGGATCCCATGAGCCCCTCGCAGCCCCCTGGAGAGCCTCGCGGACCTCTAAGCAGGAAGGTTTGGGGTCTTCTGTGACAGGTGAGGAAGTCGTGTCTGGGGAAGGAGGGGGACGGGAAACCCTACAGATGTAGAGCAGTTCTTCGGAGAAAGGGACAGGTCGAAGACCAGGCAAGGTGGCATGGGAGACCAAGAACCTGGCCTGAGGACTTTAGAAGCCGGGGAGGTGAAGTGGAGGCCTGGAGGTGCCTCAAGGAAAAGGAAGATGTGGGACTCCAGGGAGTGAAAGGGGCCCTGAGTTGAGAGGATGGAAAGATGGCTCTGGGGAGCTGAGGCCTCTAGAAGCCTTAAGGTTCTAGAAGGAGGTGAGTGAGGAAGCTGAAAAGAAAGCCTGGCCGTGGGAGGCCTGGAGTCGCCTTTCTGCCTTCGGCTCAGCACTTAAGGGGGCTTGCGCCAGGGCGTTACCTTCCAGGAGCCAACGGATCTCCTCAGGGAGGCCGGCGGCCTGCATTTGGCTGGGCGGGAGAGAGACCGGTGTGCGAGGCGGGAGGGGGCGCGGGCCCTGGTCGCGAGGCGGACCGGCTGGAAGGCGACCCGGCTGCGCCGCGAGGCACCTGTACCTCAGCCGCGGTCGCCGCCCGCCCAGCCCGGCCGCGGGGCGGGGCTGTGGGTCCCGGGGCGCTTCAGGAAGTGGCGCGGGCGACAGGCGGGGACCCGGGAAGGGGCGCGGGGTGTGGGCGCACGTGGCGCTCACGCCCGGGGCCCCGCGGTAGAAGGATTGGGGGTGCCAGAAGCACCGCACCATGCGAGGCCAAAGGTGCGCCCCTCCAGCACCCACCAAAACAGAAGACTTCAAAAGGCTCAAAGGACCCACGGCTTTGAAGACTCCATCCTAAGCACCGAACAGATGAACTCACGGTGGCAGATTTGAAAGACCGCGGGGTGCCTGAAGTAGGGTGCCGAGAGGCAGAATCCAATTCCCGTCAAGCATAGCACCTCTCAATTGCCTGTCCAGTTCACATCTCCATCTCCAGAAAAGAGGGCAAAACTTCGCTCTTAGGGAAGCCACAATGTTGAAAGGAAATGATTAATTCCCAATAAGCAATATAAGGACACCACCATTTGGGAGAATCGCGGCAGCGTGGCAGCAAGGGACACAGGAAACCGAACTGTGCTGTTCTCCCTCAGGCTGGAAAGGCCCTGAGGAAAGTAAGGGGTAACTCAGGGAGAAAGCTGAGGGAGAGGAGAACAGAGCCCTTTCCCTCCAAGAGCTGCGGAAGGGAGGAAAGTGAAGGACAAAATCATAGTCTCATTCAAGGGACACTTGGTGTCAGTCTCCTGGTTGTAACATGGTACTGTAATATTACCAGATGTTACCCTTGGGGGAAACTGGGTAAAGATAGACGGAGTTCCTCTATTATTATTTCATCTTATTATTATTATTTCTTAAACTCTCTGTGAATCTACAATTCTCTCAAAATGAAGAGGTTTTTTAAAGTACAATAGGTCCACTGCCATGAAAAAGGTATAAAGTGCTACGGTTGATAAAAGAAGGGAGTTGAATACAAGAAAAGGAGGGAAGAGGCCAGGCATTGTGGCTCACACCTGTAATCACAGCACTTTGGGAGGCTGAGGCAGGAGAATCACTTGAGCACAGGAGTCTGAGGTTACAGCCAACTATGATCACCCTAGTGTACTGCAGCCTGGGCAACAGAGCAAGACCCTGTCTCTTAAAAAAGCAAAAAAAAAAAAAAAAAAAAGGAAGTGCCAGTATGCTTGTGAGTGTTCAAAGGTGCATGTGGTGTTTGAGATGGGCTCTGAAAAACACACCAGACTTTGAAGGGGCAGGAGGACTTTCCAGGTGGAAGGACCAGAGTAAAGAAAGAAGGAAGAGCCCTTACCAGCTTGAGGACTAGTTAGTAGCCCTCTTTTACTGGATGTTGTAGGAAGACTATGGTTGTCAAGATAAACTGCAGCTCTACTGTTAAGGGAATTGAAAGTCAGAATAGGAAAGTTGAACTTAATTGAGTGGGCACTGGGGAGCCATTGACAATTTTTTAGATTGGGAATGACCTAACGGGAGCTCCGGTATAGTATGTGGCCTCACACATCTCCACCTCTGCTGTTTTCCTTCTTAGTAAAAAGTGGCGTTTCTATTCTCAGACTCAACCTACAGAATATGTAGAAAAGATTAGGAGTGGTAAGAAAAGACACAAGGAAAGTGGGTAAAATGGTTTTTACAACAGCTATAAGGGGAATAATGATGGACTCAACCTAGGAGATGGGGCAAGAGCAGTAAAAAGAAATCGTTGAGAAGGATGAGTGGTATAAGTGCCTGCCTCCTTGTACTGTTTCCCATCCAGAGATACAGCCTCAAGGATGAGGTGTGATCCTTTAAGGAGTACAGTGCATTCTGCCATCTGAAAAGGAGTGGTGCGTTGGTTTGAGTGTCACATGACCCACCTACAAGCTGCAGTAAATTGGGGTGAGGGGACAGAGGCTGGCGTGAGTCTCTCTGGGGTATCTGGCTCCTGCTCATCCTCCTTCCTGCCCTGAGAAAGTATAGCAATGGGTGGCTGGGCGTGGTGGCTCATGCCTGTAATCCCAGCACTTTGGGAGGCCAAGGCAGGCAGATCACGAGGTCAGGAGTTTGAGGCCAGCCTGACCAATATGGTGAAACCGCATCTCTACTAAAAATACAAAAATTAGCTGGGCATGGTGGTGCGCACCTGTAATCCCAGCTACTCGGGAGGCTGAGGCAGGAGAATCACTTGAACTCGGGGGGCAGAGGTTGCAGTGAGCCGAGATCAGGCCATTTCTCTCTAGCCTGGGTGACAGGGCAAGACTCTGTTTCAAAAAAAAAAAAAAAAGAAAGTATAGCAGTGGGCAGACTACCTCTTTCAGGCTTGGGATCAAGTACCAGGTACCCCCATGGCATTTTTACCAACTTCACCACTTCACCTATAAAATTGTAGCTGCTCTAGGACCATTTTGAAGTACTTATGGTGCATACTAAAAAGCAAGGAAAGATACATGGGAACTGTCTGTGCTATCATCTCAGTTATTTTTTGGTAAATCTAAAGTGTTACCAAAAAAAAAAAAATACAGCAAGGGAAACAAAGTCCCCCTGTATGTCAACCTAAACTTTGCCTTGCTTTCCCTCTTGGTAACAGAAGAAAATTTGATAACCTCTCCCTCTTGTTCAAGGATATGGTGTCACATACTAATATAGGCTACCAGCTAATGAATTGTTTGATAAAGAGCAAAAAACCCAGGTAACTGCACTTCTTTGCAGGCTTCACTGCCTGTCATAGCTTACTTACACCAAGGAAAACAGCAAAAACTCACAGTGTACGTATTCTACATGCATCCTTCCTTACAAGAATCTCTGGGTTTTGGAGAGACAGGGGTAGAGGGAGGTGCAGAGTCGGGTAGTATGTAGCGGGTGACTGGCAGATTCCAATACAGTATTGTCATGTTGCATCAAAGTTCCTCATTGCAGACAGAAATCTGCCTCCACACATGAACGCAGCCCTTCCTTAATCATCTGAGGACCCTGTTTCAGCAGTCAGCCTCACTCCTAATGACATTCTGTTAAATGGACAAATTCCTTTGAAGCCTTGTCCTTCTTTGAAATCCAATTTCGCAGAAAGCCAAATCTGATTGGGGGTAGCCATGGAAACCACACCGAAGAGTCTTTGAGGAGGTGAAGAGAGGCAAGGCAAAATGTGATAGTCACGAATCCTTTACTGCTCTGTCAGAAATATCAAAGAGATCTAGAGAGGTTGGCAGTAGCCGAGTCCCTGCCTGGGTCCTGTTCTGTGTGGCTGGGTACTATGTGGCTGTCATGGAAGAAAGCAGCCAGCTGTCTCTGCACACAGGCAGGAGGATGGAACAGAATACACAAATCTCAGGTCTGTCTGCCTCCCTTTTCTTCCCCTCCCCCCAGACCCAATTCCAGCAAGATCTTAGCATCCTCTTCTTAGCTACCCGCCCCTTAAAGACAAACAACAAAAGAATGACAAGGTTAAAATACAAGGCCCTCACAGATAAGAGGTCCTTTGGAGCAGAGGCCATGAAATTAATCTGGAATTCCTTGTAATTAGATAAGATAAGGGGATCTAAAGAGATGCAGAACAGCCAGGAATGGAGTCCAGCAGCACAACATGCAGAAAATACACCGCCTTGTCCACCGGGACCCTTCACGCACTGTCAGCAGACAGAAGACACAGAAAATAGAGCCTGTATTGGCCTCTGAGCTGCTTGGGAATGCTGTCTACATGTTCTCATGCCAGGTGGGCACTCACTAAATAGGCATCTATGGGATGTCCAGAGGGCCCAATCAGGAAGAAACAAAAGCATCTGGCACCCAGAATGGCATGGAGTGGGAACAACTGCAAGCAAAGCAGGAGCTGGCTGGCACTGCTCTGTCCTGGCTGAAATGGGTCTGGAGAGGAAACTGCAGAGGGCAGGCTCTGAGGCTTTATTCCGAGCTTGTTATTGATCCCTGAATGCTGGGTCATGACATGTGGCAGAGCTGACGTCTGCCCTGTGGATGTGCAGCCACTGCCTCTCAGCCTCTCGGTCCCAACCCCATCAACCGGGTTTATTGACTCTTTTATTGACAATGCTGGGGCCTAATGAGGACAAGAGCTGCACACTTCATTAAGGGATGTGGAAGGAGAGATGATGCATCCTGTCGGTGCCAAGAACCAGGCTCACTGTATGTTTTGCAAGGCCCCAGAAACCAACCATCATACCACCTTGGAGGCAGAGGAGATGGACATAAGATGCTAACTTGGGCATATTACTTCAGTGGCCTAAAAATGAAGAGTTTCCATGGTTTGCCAGAAGCCTTGTTCTTACCAATTAGTTAACTCTTCAACTTAGGAGGGTCCTGTTATACACACACTCACACAAATACACTTCCAATGGTCTCCCCTTCCAGCTCACACTCCTAGATTCTCTGCCCTAATACATACAACAAAATAAGCAGCTTCTCATATCACATCAGGAAGCAATTCCATAAGCAGGTTCTCAATGAGGCACAGGCTTGGAACAGGATAAAAACTCAAAAGCATCTTCAAAGGGAACAAATTCAAGATAAGGAACAGACCCAGCACTATGACCAGGGTCCCCCAGCTTGCAAGGAGCTATGCATTAGAATCTGGTACAAAGCTCTTGTAGAACTGAAAAATACCTAAGATAGATAGTTACAGCCTAGGGATCACTGAGCCACTCTGTGAAGTAATCACTGTTGGCCCTTCTCCATCTAAATAGTAATGTTTCATTCCCAGTACTTTAGGAGGCCGAGGCAGGGGAATCACTTCAGACAGGGAGTTGGAGACCAACCTGGGCAACATAGTGAGACCCCTGTCTCTACAAAAAATACAAAGATTTCAAAAATTAGCTGGGTATGGTGGCATGAGCCTGTAGTGCCAGCTACTCTTGAGGCCTAGGCAGGAGGATTGTTTGATCCCAGGAGTGCGAGGTTGCCGTGCCACTGCACTCCAGCCTGGGCAACAAAGCTGAGACCCTGTCTCAAATAAATAAATGAATAGTAACATTTCTTTCTTCTTTATCTTATCTATCACTCCTCTTATTATTTTTTCTCTATTGTCCCCAATCCTTTTCCTTT